TATTTTTTTCCCCAATTTATGTTTAACGGAGAGAAGATTTTTTTCAACACATTTCTAAACATAATAATTTTAATAACTCTTTTCTAATAACTGATTTATTTTATCTTTACCACGATGATTGTAAATAATATTTTATTAGAGGTTTTTCAAGACACTTCTATACAGCTTAAAGTGACATTTAAAGGCTTAACTAGGTTAATTAAGTTAACTTGGCAGGTTAGGAGAGTTAGGCAAGCTATTGTATAACAGTGGTTTGTTCTGTAGATTATCGAGAAAAAATATAGCTTAAAGGAGCTAATAATTTAATAAGACTTTCTCCAGAAGAACAAATATAATCAGAAATACTGTGAAAATGTCCTTGCTCTGTTAAACATCATTTAGGAAATATTTTAAAAAGAAGAAAAAAATCGAAGGTGGGCTAATAATTCTGACTTCAACTGTATATATGTGTATATATATATATATATATATATATATATATATATATATATATATATATATATATATATATTTTTTTTTTTTTTTTTTTTCAGCTTAGTCCCTTTATTAATCAGGGAGCACCACAGCGGAATCAACCACCAACTTATCCAGCATATGTTTTATGCAGTGTATGCCCTCCCAGCTGCAACCCATCACTGGCAAACACCATACAGACTCATTCACACACATACACTACAGTAAATTTAGCCCAATTCAACAAAATCAAATCACTTTTATTGTCACATCATCAGCAGCACATGTGCTATGAAAAGCTTAGGTGCTCGCTCCAGACATTGCAAAATACAGACAGTGCAAATAAATCGACAGTGCAAAATACAGACAGTGCAAAATACAGACAGTGCAAATATAACAACAATGTGAAATTGACAGCGATATGTACAATGAATAGGTGTCTACATAGTTGTAGGCAGTATTGTTTTAAGTAGCACATGTCTTTGGATTGTGGAGGAAACCGGAGCTCCCGGAGAAAACCCAAATGAATACGGGGAGACCAACTTCAGTGCCAACTTCACAAAGAAAAGCCAACAGATCCATCCTGGGCTCGAACCAGCGATCTTCTTGCTGTGAGTTGATCGTGCTACCCACTTTACCACCCTGATGTCTGGTGCAAGCATTTAGATTCAAAATGCTATGAATGAGTTAAAACATGTATTACTCTGATTGGCAGATTTCATTTTCCTCTCATTGCAACTCCTGCCATTAGTATTTATTTCTAGATTTACCGTTGAGTGCTTTCATTTTTTTTTGTCATTTTATTTATACAAATATACAACTATGTTGTTGTTTTTTTTTTCAACATAATTTGCACATTGTTATTGTACATACACAATCTAGTACATCCAATGGAATAATGTGCTTATATTGCCAATTGCAAATAATGACCAGGCATGATGTGTTTTTATAAAACAACAATGTGTTTTTATTCGTTTTCATGAATCTGCATGAACTTTACAAAAACCCAGGATGTTATTATTATTATTATTGTAATTATTTAAGTATATTGCGCTTACGCAAATGCACCCTTAATATGAGAGCACAAAATCTTCCCAGATGTGTTCTCGGCTTCACAGCATGTGAAGCATGAAATGTCTTAACACTTGCTTTTTTTGGCTTCTAAGTAATTTTGCAAATAGCAGTAAACTATTTACCACAAACCGAAGTAAACTGCATGGCATGATCCATTAAAATGTAACGCTCTGATAAATCTCTCTTCTCCATGTCCTCATTAACATGACTATCACTTGTCGTCTGCTGTACCTTTATCACCAAACAATTTCCTGTTTCTGAGAGTTCTGTTTATTTGTCCACTTTGCAAAAATAAACAATAGAAATTCTTTCCACTCTATCTATTTGAGATTGAAATAACTTCTGACCTTACTATGACCTCAGAATAAATAAATCACAGTAGTTCTATCTGGCCTAAGAGCCAGTTCAGATTCAGATTTTAGATTTTGGAGACAGGCGGTGGTTGGGATCACTCCACCCTTGGATGGTTCTCCAGGGATATGGTTAAAACAAAGTAGTGCTTTACCCCCCTGTTATTTAGGGCCCCTGGGTGTGTCACTAATCTATGTCAAGGGCTCTATTATTACACCCTTTTCCATCTCTCCATTATGTCTGTGAAGAACCCTACTTATATGGAGTGGTTGTGGGGCGTCATCAATAGTTTGTGTTATTGCATAAGTTGTGGGCAAAAAATGATATAGAAACATTCTTTATGTTGTTAAATCACATTCGACCTTGTAGTTATTCAAGTTTTTGTTTGTAATTAAAATACTACATCAGAGCTGTAAATTGACTTTGTCATGACATTGTTTATGTTAGCTGTGGAGTATCAACAATACGTTTCTGAGAATGTGATTCACAGTTTCCTGTGGTTGTGGTTCCTGTAAATATATGTATAGTTCATTGAACAAGTGGGACAGTAACTTAATATTTAACCTTTTGAGCGATTTCTGGGATTCTAGGAGGCTAGTGGCCTGATTATAAAGGAAAGACATGCCTTGAATTTTCTTGCCAATATGACTTCAGTATGATTTTGTTAACTCCTTGTTGCTGCATGTGGAATAATGCTTTTACTTCTTTTTTTTTTAAATAAATTTATTTATTTATTTTTTCGGTAACGCTTTAGTTTAAATAACAATTCTCTATAGTGTCTTATTACCTAGGTCCTAGGGCATTGGGTGTTTGTTTGTTCTTATAAAGTAGGTGATATTTTTGATCAAATTCTGCATCCCTTATCTTCTCCTACGTACAGTAATACCTAAACCCAAATACTAATAACTATTAATAAGCAGCAACTTAGGAGTTTATTGACCTAAAAAGTCATAATGGGTTGTTAATAATGAAATTTGTAAAAGGTGTCCTCTCTTAGACAGACAATAAAACCATTTTCCTACGGACAGATAATTTATTTAGAATTATTTGTGCTGGTTCCTTGGCATGTCATTAGCGATAAATATTGCACTGAATCTGCCATTAGTGCATGCTTTGTTTAAAGCAGCTGATTCATTTAGAAATGAAGCAAATTACTTTATATATGGAATGGAATACTAAAGCATTGGTTGGTACAAATTAATTCATGGATTCCTTCTAACTTAATTTAGATCTCAGGGTTCAACGCTAAGGATTTTTTATACGGGTCTGATCGGGCCATTGGTTGAGATTTTTAAATTTTCACTCGCCCCACCAAAAAAACTAAAAAGTTAATAGCTATTTCTTAGCCACATATTTTAAATAGTGGCAAAATTATGCCTGTGAATCTAGAATTTAAACATTTTAAATATGTTAATAAATGTATGATGAGCAAAATTCAAGATTTTACGCAAATGAAAGAGCAGTATGAAAAATGTGCTGTTATTTTAATTCAATTCTAAATAATTTTGATAAAAATGGCTAGCCAAACTGACAACTGTTATTTTTATTTTTTTATTTATTTATTTACTTATTTTTTCAGTTACTTAAATTTATACCTATGTAATTGTCTGCTTCTAAGACTTTAGAAACATACGTTTTCTTTTACCCTCATTGTTTAATTTTGCCGCCATGTTGCCATCTTTTTGCTGTACTGGTTGTTGCCAGGTTACAAAAAAAAAGACATGCTCATTGTTACTGGCCGATAGGGGCCAGTAACAATCCTGTCTACTGTCCCGAGTGTCTTTCACGCTGGCCCCGGGCCACTGGGCAGTCCTTATTGTTGAGCCCTGGATCTGTTTTTAGTGGAAACAATATCAATGCAACCCACTCAGTTTTAACTTTGTTTGTTGAACTGGTGTCTAAAGTCAGTCTAACAATGCTATTGTGGTTGCTATGGTATCATCATGTGACTATTTGCACTCTTGCTTTTGTAATTCATCATCTCTTGTATGTATTGAATTTTTTTTTTAAAGAAAAAAAACATTTAAGGATATTTTTTGCTCTGACAACTTAATAAAAGTTTTATTATAAAAGGCATCATTCACTCTTTAGATCTTTGAATGACATAATTATCCCTGGTTAAATAGTGTTAATAACATTTACAATATTTTCATACTGGACAGTTCACACACCCTTGTTGAATAACTTAATAAATAGTTTGGATGTGCTTTTTTTTGGTGGTTTCATTCCACTGTGGCAACCCCTAGTAGTTACTGAACGAGTTTGTTAGTTTTCTTAGTGCCATTGTGATGTGATTCTTTGAATTATTCTGTTGGGATTTTCTAAATTTAAAATTTTATAGTTCCTCTGCTAAAGAAAGCAATCGGGTGACTAACTGCAGGAGCCACAGGTAATATTACTAGAGCATGACGTGAGTTTCAGCAGAAATGATTAGCATTGTTTATCTGCATGCATCTGGGTTAATAAACAGCTTAATGGTATTGTAATCAGGTCAGGAAATTATGCTGATTGTTAATGCAGGAATGTGGTAGGCACATTTTTTATTTATTTATTTTTTTACATTTAGCACTTTCCTTGTATCCACATTACAATACAAATTTTTCAGAACTGTATACTGTTTTACAGAATACAACTAATACAGTGGATATGTATTTATGCAATAGTCTCATTTATGAAAGGTTAAATGCCCCATACTGTAGTTGTAGTTAATCAGTGAACATGTTTACATTTATTCTCAAGGCCTAACAAATATGTGAAAATAACTTAATCCTCATTAGTGGTAAGTTAGTACAGTGAGTGATCAAAATAGATATCATATGATGTGAATAAATGTATTGTGATGAGAAACAATTTTGAGAAAGGCTTTTGATGGACAGGCTTAAAAATTGGGATGTATAAAGGCGTCTAGTGTTTTTTGGCCTGCTCTCTAGAGCAAAGTTTGATTTCCAACAAATATTTACTCATGCCTTTTGTTTTGTTTTTCTTTCTTTTAAATATTTAATAACTGTTCATGACCTCTGCAGCACAACTCTCTTGTGTGCACTTGGTTGATATAGTTTGTTGGATGCTCTTCAGTGTTCAGTCTCAAACACTGTTGTTCATCATCTCTTCTCTTTACGCAGAATTGCCTGAGAACTGGACTGACACAAGAGAGACTCTGCTGGAGGGAATGACCTTTAACCTTCGACATCTGGGGATGACACTGGTGGACCAACCTAAAGGAGAGGAGCTCTCAGCTGCTGCTGTCAAGAGGATTGTTGCCACGGTGATTTTCGTCATCTCTGACATGAATATACATCATAATATCATTGAGGCCACTTATAGAAACAACTTAGAAATAAACACATTGTAACAGATTTAGTCATTTAAAAAAACTGGTAGCACTTTAAAGTAGCGGTCTTTAAGTTAATGTATTTACTAACGTAAACAAACTATTAATAATACATTTAAGACAGTATTTATTAATCTTCGCAAATTTTAGTTAATGTTATTTTAATGTTGTTAGTTCATATTAACTCCCGGTGCATAAACTAATGTTAACAAGCATACCAATGGATTATAATAATGCATTCATTCATTGGTGAAATATGATTAATAAATGCTTCACAAGATTATTGATACTTAGTTAATTCTTTATTTATTTTTTTATTTACTTCAATAACAAACATACATAATTCAATTTTACACAAAAAACAAAATGATAATAACAGATAAGGATAAATAATATAAACAAGAAAAAGAAAAAGAAAAAACAAAAGAGAGAAAAGAAAGAAAAAAAAAGTGTAAACATTTACATACATAACACAAATACAGCAAGAGGAAAGAAGGATTTCTGTATCCGTGATATTTCCAAAATATTTATCATAAAAAAACTAAGAATCTATCACTTTTCTTATTATTAACTAGTCTAAGATATTGAATAAAAACATCAATTTCTATTAAAAAATGTGTAAAAGAAAGCTGCGAACTGGAGAATTTTTGTTTGTGAATAAAATATTTTCCATACAAAATAAAAAAGTGAATAATGTATACTTAGTTAATTCTAGCCTTAGTTATTCTAAAATGGTGGGATAACAAATCTTTAAAGATGCATAAACTTGTGTTCTATGGCTGAGTGCTTTGCCACCTGGCTCTTGTTTGAGGCAAGTTTTTTTTTTATTAACTAATTTTCTTTGGCCGTTTGTGAACATGGTTGTTCTGAGCTCTCTAAAACTAAAAATTCCATCTGCCTGCTTCAAGGTTCGTTTTAGATAAGTTAGCTTGTGCTTAGACAGAAATTTAACTCAATGGGCTAATGCACTTATTACATATGTTGCATTAAAATAGTCTTTGTTTTTCTAATAACTCTTGGAGTGAATTATGGGTTAACATGAAGTAAAGATTATGTTAAAGGTCTAATTAAAATGTGGCCAGAGAAACATATTTCAAAACAACTGTCTTAAACAAAAGCCTTGACTCTCGCTCAGAAATCCACAATAAGCCTGTGGAGCTATTGTCAATTCACAGGCTGATTGTGGGACTTTAAAAAGTCTTTAAAGGCCTTAAATTCGGATTTGAAATGAACATTTTGGTCACGTTACAGCAAAACATTTCTTCAGTCTGACGGATTTGATCATTGGACAGAACAACTGATTTTTTACCACTGTATTTATTGTGTTATCAGAGAGAGTTGAGGTAGCATAAACAAAAGCACAGGTGATGTGATTTGCAGCGTGCAAGTGTTTAAAAAGAGCCTGCAGGCTCCCATTTCCTCTAATGCAAATCTGTTATTCTCTCGCAGAAGCAATCTGCCATGTGTGGAGGTGGTGAGCTTGGAATTGTTTGTCATAGAATTGAAAATAAAAATCATGGCTCGTGTATCAAACGGTTAATGCTGCTGCTTTCAGGAATTCAATATAAAAATATTTAATCTTTTGGTAGGTGACAGAGGTAGCTGTGATTGCTTAATGCTTTAACTATTTATTGGTTATTAAAAATCTACTCAATCAAAAAACATTTCACTAACCTCATACCGGAGTGCTGAAAACCTGGTGGTTCTAAAAGTAATGGAATTTCTACCCTTTAAAATCTGTCTGGCAGGAAAACTAGCTTGTGCTATTTATATTCCTTTGAAATAAATGGTAACAGTAAACAAAAAAGTAAGTAATATGAATCAGTTGGCTCACTCAACCTCTTCCTCCTTTTGTAAATGTAAGTTTTTGTTAAAGAAAAGTTTAGTAAAATGTATACAGCTATGTTTGCTGGTTTTGTCACATTATTTAAAATAAGTGACTAGAAATAAGTATTTAAAAAATCAGTACCAATCAGGCCAGAATAAAACATTCGTTTGTGTTTAAGCCCTCAGATAGATGTTCAAGTAAAGTCAAAAATATTAGCCATCCTGTGAAATTGACATCTGTTTTCAAAAATTTCCTTGTGGTGTTTAATAGAGCAAGGACATTTATACAGCATTTCCTATAATATTTGTTTTCTTCTTGGGGAACGTTTTATTTCTTTTAGTTTGGCTGGAATGTTTTAATTGAATTTTTTCAAACTTTTTTAAAGTCAATATTAGCCCATTTCCAAACAAATATTTTTTAAGTGTCTACAGAACAAGTCAATTGCTTAAAGAAAAACTGCTATTATCTAATAACTGGACTAATTACCCTTACTTGCCTAGTTAACATATTAACCTAGTTATCTCTTTAACTGCACTTTTAGCTAAATACTAGTATCTAAAAAAATTAAGTAGAAACATGTTATGTTCTGTCATCATGGCAAAGATAAAATAAAATTGTTATTAGAAATGAGTTAATAACACTTATAGTTGAAATCAGAATTATTAAACCCCCTTTGATTTTTTTATTTTTATTTTTTTTTTTATTTCACAAATTATGTTTAACAGCAATGATATTTTCACAGTATGTCTGATAATATTTTTTCTTCTGGAGAAAGTATTTTTTGGTTAAAATAAAAGCAGTTTTTTTATTTCTTAAAAGCCCTTGAAGGTCAACGTTATCAGCCCCTTTAAGCTTTATATGTTTTCAATAGTCCACAGAACAAACCATCGTTATACAATAACTTGCTTAATTACCCTAACCTGCCTAGCTAACCTAATTAACCCATATAAGCCTTTGAATGTCACTTTAAGCTGTATAGAAGTGTCTTGAAAAATATCTAGTAAAATATTATTTACTGTCATTATGGCAAAGATCAAATTGGAAATGAGCTATTCAAACTATTATGTTTAGAAATGTGTTGTAAAAAAATCTCTCTGTTAAACAGAAATTGGGGGAAAAAATAAACAGCGGGTTAATAATCTGACTTCAACTGTGTTTAAAAATGTATTGGGGAAAAAATCTTCTCTCCGTTAAACAACACTTGGAAATATTAATAAACATAATTTATTTCACAAAAGGGCTAATAATCCTGACGTGTATATGCACATGTTTTTTCATTGCAGGTTTGGTGGTCTAATCCCTTCAACTGCCTGCTCTACCAAATGGTTGACCAATATTTTAACTGTTTTAAATAATGAATGTTAAAGTTTCAAATAATAGGTAACACACACACAGCATTGTTGGTTTACTAAACGAAAAATCTAACAAACATAATCCTGTTGCACTTCTACACTTAGTTTTGTTTTGTTTTGTGTTTTTTTAAAACATTGATAATAAAACGTGTTAATTAAGAATCTGAAATAGTTTATGTCATACTTCATACTTGGTTTTACACTTTAATATTGTTCTATATATATAGACCGACATATCAATTATTTAATAGAGGTTGATATTTTAAAAATAAATGGATGTGTTGAGGGAAAAATGCAGCAATGAGTGTGGTAACTAGCAACATTAGAATTTAAGAAATCCTATCAATTTTTTTTTTTACTTGGTGGGGCGTTTAAAGGATTACATTTCATATAAGTTGGTATTAAAAAGGTTTTAAATATAACTAGTTAAACTCTGTAGACACCATGATCTATTTTGGTGGATGACTGACATAGAATTGCAGAACAAACAAATGCACTATGACCAATTAAGATGAACTTAACTGTACATGACAACTTTAGCTCATTTAGAAATGTTGCTTTAAGAAAGCCAACCAATCTAAAAAAAATCACAAGATTGTAACAGTATTAACCTGGATTTCAGAAGAAAGAAATCAAGATGAAGGTTTTTCCTCTTGAAAACACTCAAATGAGCAACCTAGAAATCATGCAAAATTCCCAAGAAAATGTGAGCAAATTCAAACCACTCTTAAAATGTTAACAACAGTGTGGCTAAAAGACTGCTTCAAATTCTCTTCAAACCACTAGGGATGAATGCCCAGCCAGTCACCCAGGATACAGTTAGTGAACAGCAGCACTCAAAACATCTTAGCAACCCCTATAAAAGCACCAAAATAAAAATTCATACACTCTAGAAAACCACCAATTTAAAATTCTTCTGCTGTTGTTTTTCTCTTAGGCCAAAGCCAGTGGGAAGAAACTGCCTAAAGTGGCCCTGAAAGTGTCTCCTCAGGGAATCATCTTGTACGACAGTGTGTCAAACCAGTTGATCGAGAACATTTCCATATACAGGTAAACTCCACACACCTTCTTTCACGTTCAACTGCCTGTTAAACATTGACTCGCTGTGCTGCTGAACCACATTAGACTATGAAAGGATTGGTCTCCGCACGCTTCCTCTTCTCAGAGATGAGTGTGTTTGACCTACAGTGAAGTTGATTTATTCTGCCATCCAGTGTTTTACCATACACGCTCACCTCCAAGTTTCTCACTAGGGACATGTGAAATACAGCACACTGCAGGAGACCAGCGCTAGTCCCCATAAATCTCTACTTCACAGTTGAATGTGCTTCAGCTGAGCCTACTATTTACGCACATGGGCAATCTTCCCTCTCCTCATATTTGTTTAAATAAAACCAGCAGCCATCACTTCTTCAGTGTATAGAAGTAGTACAAAAAAAACAATCCTTGAAGTTTCAGCGCTGACAGCTGTGTCTGCTCCACAACTCGGCAAAACATCATTTTTATTTACTCAAAAGTGACTGCGTGTTCTTAACGCTGGTCTGTTTTGTGACCCTTTTCTCCCAGGATATCATACTGCACAGCTGACAAGACGCATGACAAAGTGTTTGCTTTCATCGCCCAGAACCAACAGAATGAAACTCTGGAGTGTCACGCATTCCTCTGTGCCAAACGGAAAGTGGTGAGTATTTGACGCTTTCCTTATGAAAGGCGTGAATCTTCGATCACAACAAAAACTCTGGCTGGAGCAAAAGGAGTCAAAGCATAGAGTTTTTCAGAATAGCTGACTGAATCACTTTGAAGGACACTCTGTACTTTTTAGCATAGCATGTAACAGACCAAACGTTTTCAGTGAGCAGATAATCTGGACAGAAATTGAGATTATCGTAGATGTACTCCTGCAGGCTGTTTAGGAAGCTGGGTCAATTCAGAAATTTGAAATTATTCATTTGAAATTATTTTTTTAAATATATTAACTATAATCTCTGGCAAATTCTAAGGAAAAAAAAGGCCAAAGTTATTAAAAAAAGCAATGTTCTCTCAACAATCACTTTCTGATATGTTTTGCTGCACCTTTTGTGGTCAGAGCTATTTATAATTAAGCAATTCCAGTGTTACACATGTAACGTTTGTTGTAAAAACTCAACATATAAATTCACATAGAAAGAATATGTTAACATTATATTGAAACAACTGTTTATGTTTTCCAGAAAATTTAACCACAGAGTTATGAGATCAGACAAATATCAATCTGTGAACATTTGTTATGTTTTAAATGAGGAAAATAAACATGCATTATGGATGTGACAAAGTCTGTGAATTTACAGTATACAACACGAAGAAATTCTGTGAATTGAACCCAAAAGAAATAATGTTTATCAAAAGAATAAGAGTTGGCTCACTATAAAACAAAAATTGATTGATTTTATTTTTTTTATTTTTGCATTTATGAAGAAAAAGCTTTGTTATGGATGTCGCACTTTTCCGTTATGCATATGACAGAATCAGAAATAATAGTTTAAAAATACTCAAAAATGTCTCTGTCAGTGTTTTCAAAGTACTGTAAAATACAGAAAACAAACTTGTTGTAATTCAGCCAGAAATAGAAAGATTTATTTTGTTTTTACTTAAGACATGATGAGATTCTTTATAGAAGATGCTGTATTGGACACACGAGACACACATGAACATTTACTCAAAGGAAAAGAACCTACAAAATGTCAATATTGCAATAGGAACCAAACTGTTTAACATATACCTGTGGAATGCCCTATTTTAATGTTATCAGACAACGATTTTTATCTGGAAAGACTTTAAATCACATATTTTTAAATGTGAATCCTTTAAATTTGTAAAATGCTGTTGATGACATTGAAGTGATAGAATATTTTTTATAATAATAAAAAAGTGGTATTTATAGAATGTGGTAAACTTGATCTGTTTTTTTTTTTTTTTTTTTCTTTGCCATGACATAGTCAGAGAAGCAGATATGGAAATAGACTCAAAATCCTCTCTCTGTCTTCTTTTCTGGTGTGAGGTCATCTGCTATAAAATACATTTTCGTCAACATCACCAAATCCACTCACTGGACATTGTCTTTGCATGAAAATCCCAGACCAGCCCATATTCCACCAACAACCATGCCATTTATCAAAATTAATTGTATATAATTAAAGATTTATGCACTTATTTATGGCATTATAATGCTTATAAATACTGTAAGTATAAATACTTTAAACATGCCAAGTTTTAATATTTGGTATCGCTTAAAGTACCAATTCTCACTTTTAACTATTTTTTTTTTTCTGCCAATTATTTAGATATTAACTGTTTATTAGTACTTGCAAAGTACAGATTCTGCATGATCTTATTCTACATCCTTAATCCTACCAATACCTAAACCCAACTACTCCTTTAATAAGCAATTTACTGTAACTGCTAATTAACTTTAATCATAAAAAGGAGCAAATTAGGAGATTATTTAGCTTTTAATTTAAATGTCATAGTTATTGGTGTGGTATTGGTTTGAACATTGAAAAGTGATTATATGCTATAACTCGCCTAACTATTTAAATACGGTCTAATGCTGCATTCACATTAAAGTTTGAAACATGCTAAAAGATGTTACTGTGCAAAGAAGCAGGATAAAACAAGATGATTAGACATTGATTAATTGAGCAATTGCAATCATGGGATGCAGTTTTGCAGGTCACAGTTCACCAAAATTGAACTTTGGAGTGCAGCAACATGCAAAACTTTTCGTACAAGCTTGTGTTTCCGTTCTGCCACATTTGCATGCATTTGAATGGAAGTCTATGGAGCATAGTCTAACTGATCTCTGTTGTTCTCTCAGGCCAAGGCGGTCACGCTCACGGTGGCTCAGGCCTTCAGAGTGGCCTTCGAGTTCTGGGAGGTTGCCAAAGACGGTACAGAGTCTCATATCTCTCCACAAAACAATGCAGAGGTCATATATAACTGCAGAGGATCATACACCAAAAGTGGAGAGTAATTTGTCTCTCAGGGTGTTGATGCTGTTGTGATTGATTAGAGTCAAACTATTACTTTATTGCCTTTTCTTGTTATAGAAAGATGGAGACTCACAAAATCATTTATTTTTTAATGCAGGAAAAATGCATCACCTACCAAGGATTTCTTGAATTTTGCAAACACAGTTTCAAAAATTATGTGTCAAACATTAAGTAAATGTAATAATTAAAAGAATAGTTAATTTTCTTCTTGGGCTTAAATAATGTTTATTTTTTCTTTAGTAGTGGTCCTTGTTGTTTTAAAAAAGTAAATTTGGGTACTGCCATTTTGAGTGTCTTGCCCATACTTTAGTGACGTCTATAAATAGAAATGGCAATGAATCATTGCTTCAGTCATTAAATTCACAATGTGGATTTATTTAGAAACAAAATGGAAATGCACTTGTTATACACAGAGATGTACTTTTGCTTTATAGGTTATTTGCATTGATAAAACAAAAATATCATGATTTTAAATGCATGACCATATCATTTTGTCTCGTTGTTGCACTTGCTTTAAGGATAAAAACAGCACTCATGTAAAATTTCAGTCAATTTTTATGTGTTATTACTTAAACTGTGTTCTTAATATGAAACGGTAACTCTTGAAACTCAGAATATTGAATTTTAGACAAATATATTGATATATTTTATAGGTTTTATCACAGTGAGTTGTTGGCCTGCATCATGCTCATCAACAATATACTGTGTAAAATAATTTATACATAGAATTAGTTAGGAACAATTTTTTTAATGTTTTTCTTCCCAATAGTTAGCTAATTTAAGACCAGTTAATTTACAAACATTTTCTATGTTATATTTATTATATATTTTATAAAACAGATAGATAGTATTATATATAGTATATATATATTTGAATTTATTGTTCTGCTTTCAGAGAAAAAATGGGATTCAGCTGGAGAAACATCCAACAGCTCACAGTCTGACCGATCTGTCAGCCTGACCAGCCTGAAAGTAGGAGGTGCGAACCCCTTAAACTCTCTGTACCTTTTGTTTAAATTATTTTGGAGACCAAAACAGTAACCCTTTAGCACTTTGACATTTAATGGGCTGTGTGTGTCTTTCAGCTGCAGCAACAGAGAACCTGTTGGAAATCGAGGACTACACATCGGCTTTGGAAAATGTTGACAACCACACCGAACCCAACAACAACACCACCACCCTATGGGTAAGAGCTTGTCCAGTTTTAGACTTCTGCTTTTCACTTCTCCCTCACTTCACAGGCAGGATTTCACATGAATGACTGCAGACCATTATCATTGCTTATCTTTTTACAATGTGGTTTTGCTCCTCTTTTTAGGAGATGGATGATGGTCTGGAAGAGGCTTTTTCAAGGTACGATACACCCAAATCTGTTCTTATCTTGTCTCAGAAGATTGTGTCTCATCTAAATCTCCTTTCTATCTCTCTTCAATGGGGGGCAGGAAGGTCAAATCCTTGAGGAGTGAGCTGCAAGTAAAAAGCATGCTGATAAACTCTTGCACATCAAAATAATCTAAAACTGCGCTCTTTCTGAGTTTGTTCTCAAATCTTGTTGGAGCCATTTGAAATATTTCTTTTAGTTTGCTCCGCAGAACTTCTCGAGCCTTTGATTATTCATCCAGGGCAATTGAGCAAAAGGCATTTTTCCCCATACTGAGTCCCTTGAGACTGATTTTCTCTTTTTATTTGCAGAACCAAGATGAAGCTTTATTTAACAGCGCTTTGGCAGGGTGTAATTCACCAGTGTAATTCACCCTGCAAATGTCAAGCTGGCCTTCACTGATTTATTTCTAATGGCATATAGATGACAAACCTAACCTGAATATTTGCACTTTATGAGATACAGATGCTTTCCATTTTATTTGATTAAATCCGTCTGATAGACTGAACATGAAATGGTTGGAATTTGTTATTCAAATAGCTCTTTTTATTGTATTTTATTTTTTCTGTTGCTTGCTATTTATTATGAAGCTTAAATGGTAGCAGTGTTTTTAGAACCCAACATTATTATTATTATTATTATTATTATTATTATTATTATTACTATTATTATTATAATTATTAAATGCATATAATGCACACACACACACACACACACACACACACACACACATGCACAAGCTTAATTGATTATCAATAGTTTATCATGAAAAACTATTATTCTAATCCGTTAAATAATTGTTTCATGTTTGTATGAATAGGCACTGAAAAATTAAGACAAATTGTGTATAACATATAATACATATTTATTATTTTTATATAATTATACAAATGGGTACATGAATTGGAGATTAAATAACTTTAAAAAAAAATATTCATTTTTACATTCAGTTGATTTAGAATTATTAGCCCCCTTTGAATTTCAGCAAGAACATTTTCACAGTATCTCTGATAATATTTTTTTCTTCTATAGAAAGTCTTATTTATTTTATTTTATTAAGGACAAAATTATTAGCCCCTTTAAGCTATTTTTTTTTTTTCATATTGTCTACAGAATAAACCATCATTATACAATGACTTGCCTAATTACCCTAACCTGCATAGTTAACCCAGTTAACCTAGTTTAGACTGTAAATGTCACTTTGAGCTGTATAGAAGTATCTTAAAAAATATCTTGTAAATTATAATTTCCTGTCATCATGGCGAAAATAAAATAATATAAATCCGTTATTAGAGATGAGTTGTCAAAACTATTATGTTTAGAAATGTGTTGAAGAAATATATCCGTTAAACAGAAATTGAGGCAGGGAAATAAACAGGGGGACTAATAATTCTGACTTCAATTGTATATATTGCTTATTTAATTACTTAATGCTGATAAAACTTCAGCGTACAATGTGTTGACCAAAGAACATTTATTATATTCATAAACAATAGGAGCAGCAGCATCTTCATGGTTGAAAGAACTATTAACACAGTTAACCTACTCTATAATTAATATGGAGATTATTAAAATGCAACTTAACTGACTGATTTATGCATTATCCTATTTATTAGAACAGCATTGTGTTTCTTAAAGGTGTCGAGAGAACCATCCTGCAGCTCTCAAACCTTTGATTGCTCTACTCTCTCTTTATTCCTCTAGCTGCAGTTTGGATAGCTATGAATACTCTCCAGGTAACAAGTACAGGTCCAGTCTAACCCGAGTTCAGTGTTCACCACCTCCATTCTCAAATCTGTGTTCTGTCTGTAACATCATTCCCCACCCATCCTCTTTCAGAACCCTACCAGCTCATCAACCCAAGCAACTTATTGATGCAAGATGCAGATTTAGGCTTATATGTGATGATGGGGTTCTACTGTGAACTTTAAATGCAATCTGCAGATCCTATCTTTTTCTCTTTTTAAAATCCCTTCACCCTAGTCAGTTGTTTGTGTTCAGTATGTGATCCGTTTTTAAAGGGGCTATATGTAAGAATTGTACTAAATTAAACACTTTTTCTATACTGTAATTTCAGTTTGCCCTGCACAGAAAATTATTTATTTAAATCAACTCGCATGTGAAGCCTGTAGTCTAAAATGCTTCTTCATAGTCAAATAATCATAACATCTGTTGACATCTGCTGGTTAATTAGAAAGCTTGTCCAAACATATTCAAAATTGTTGTTTTCTCACCACTCTTGTTTTTTTATTATGTCTCTTAAAGAGAGAAAAGTCCAGATGCGTTTACATATCTATAATAGATATCAGTATATCGTGCAAAATATTGAAAACTTTTTATTCTAATCAAAGGTCAAATAGAGCTCATCTGTGAGTATGTCTCGGAATTGATATTTAGTATGTTGTCTGTTCTGTGTGCACAAGTGCACGACCATGATCAACACATTTTGGAGTTTCTGAATCTTCATATAGCCTCTTTAATTCCTTAATATAACACTCAGGGTGTGTTCACACTTGTAGAACAGTTAATTGAGCATTTATTTAATTTGTCTGGAAAACATTTAGTTCATCCCACTTGTTGGTGTGGGAGTAGCTTCAGTTTTCTAAAGTGACCAAGTTTAAAATTAAAGGCTCTATTTTGACGATCCATGCGCAAACTGCCTAGCGCAAAATCAATTAGAGCTCGTCAGAATCCACTTTTGCTAGTTTAAGGACGGAAAAATCCACTTTACGCCATGGTGCAAGGTTGAGCTTATTTTCTTAATGAATTATAGCTGTGTTTTGAGAATAAACCAATCAGAGTCTCATCTCCCATTCCCTTTAAGAGCCAGTTGTCTTATTTACATGGCAGGCTTTGTAAGTGGAAAAACTGAGTGCTTCACTAGCAATGAAACAGTTGAACAGGCCATCTACAGCGCAAGAATGAGAGAATGAGCCTTCTCATTGTTTACTTTCGCTTTCACTCTCGTGGATAGGGAAATGTGTTGTACGGACAGATGTCCGTTAGCCTATTCATAAATAGTTTTGTTTAAGCACAAAGATTTGTTTCAACTATTTCTAAAATCATTTCCAGCAAACAAATAAATTAACAATAATAACGAAGTGTGATCAAAAAAGTGATATTGAAAAGTGATACTGAGTTTTATCTAAATACATATGCCCCATATGGTCTAAAACCTGACAGGTGGACAAATCTAAGCTTGTTTTTAATAAAACAAATATAAATATCCATATAATAAATAATACAGCTAAAAATAATAACATTATACAAAAGCAAATTGTCATGAATAAACTGGAAAAGCCCCCCAAGATAAAGAAGGCACGGAAGCGGTGGTTTTTATATTTATGTAGGCTAGAAAATAATAATTTTTGTAATATTTTAATCCTTTAATTCTTTTTTTATATGTAAAGATAGTTGCGTATTGCTATACATCATGTGTGTATTAAGCAATGTTTGGCGCACAACTAACACGCTCTGCGCTGGACAATAAACCAGCTTTGATCTGGTCTATTGAACATCTATTTACGTTCCTCAAAATTGCAACATGCCAGCAATGTGCCTCAACACGCCTCCTTTTATAGATCAGAACGCCTATGGGCGCACATATGAGCACAAATGCATTTGCTATTTAAACAGCGTGGCGCAAAACGTCAAAACAACTCTTGCGCCGAGCTGAAACTAGCAAACAACAATTGCGTCGCGCCTTGCGCCACATTGCGCCGGATGTGTGATAGGACACTAAATGTTTAAATTCATAATATTTCTGATTATGATATCTCTAAATGTTTAACTGAGAAATGAATTGCTGACTCTCGCAAGAACTGAATCAAAAGGGCATGTCTCGTGTGATTGGTTCTTTGCTGCACTTGACATGACTGAGTTAATTAGTAACCCCGAGTTAAACGTTTATATCATGCGACGTGGAATAGCTTAACATAATCTTAACCAGTTTTCATTTCTTTAAATATTCCAAACCGAAACTTACTCTGCAACCCAGAAATTGTACAACAGGCCTGTGAAAAAGGCTGTTTGTCAGATATTTAAGAAACTTCTTCTGACGCCATCATTGTGTTTAGGGGTACACATTTACAATGCCACTTACTGCAGTGTGTGGGTTTTGGAGGTATCGAAAACAGTATATCGTCAAACATCTTTTTGCCATCAATTGAAAAACGCAAAGAGTCTTTATTTGAAGTATACTCTTTCTTTTAGTGTGTATAAAGTATACACTTAAGTGCGCTACTGATTTATACCGAGCTGTACATAAGTAACTGTGTAAGTAACCAATTCATTTGCCTAAAAAATAAAAGTAATCCCTTTTTTCAGTAACTTTTTGCTTTGTAACAGACAACACCCGTTTTCATTTGGAAGCAAACAAAGAGCCACCTTTTCAGCACTTTCCGTTCATTTGTCTGGTGTACACCAAGGTTTGATTTATCTGTGTGCGCACTTATTCATCTCACTAACAGAGGAATTACATCAGTTTGTTTTAAACAAACAAAACTTGCCAAGTGTGAACACACTCCTTAGTGTAGTTTAATTACATTGATGTACAACATGCTTACAAATAAATACATACCACTTGTTTGCATAGTGAATAACATAGTTATAAATAAAATCCATCAAAAATAAGACGCCTATGGGCAAGTCCATTGTCACTTAATCAGGAGTTTCATTTGTTTTTCATTTATAATAAGTTTGACATGTGCATGGAATTTCCCATATGTTAATTAAACCGGCATCATCTATAATGTTTCAGTTTTTACATCATGTTTTTCTGTGTCTTTCTCATAGACTCGCTGAGTCTCGTACTAACCCCCAGGTCCTGGACATTGGGCTGAGCTCTGAGAGTGAATGGGATGAAACCAATGGAAACTCGCCAAATGCCAATGAGCTCTGCGGCTTCTGAGCACAGATCCAGAGCCTGCGTTCAGTCTGGTCCTGCTCATCCCTGTTATCACCACACCAAAGCAATATCAGATGAGTCTATTTTTGCTAAAGGAAAAAAAAGTGACACTGCGCTGAGTTTACATGCTTTATTTTTATCAATCAAGTTGTATACAGAATATATGTAGATACCAGAGTCAGTATTGTTTTTCATGTATGAAAAGGAAAAAAGTTTATGGTAAATATAACATTGTGTATATACAGGTGCACTATAGAGTTATTTTAGAGTCTAACCCTGTAGTTTGCTGCTTCAAGATTCATTTATCACCACAATGCCCTTCATTAATAATATGGAAATCAGCGTTAAAGTCACAGTACTGCTTGTCATTTGAGGATTGTGAGTTGTGTGTCAGTATTTACTTGTATGTTTTTTTTCTATTTAATCAGAATTGTATTATTGTTATAACACCCTAAGGGGCCATATAATATTTCTCTAAAAAGTCTAATAAAAGTGTTAATATTATGTGATTTGTCATCATGTTTTTAACTTTCTTTTGTGTCCTATTCATATTTTAATATTTATACTGAATTGAATTAGTAGTGATGTTTCGTTTTTCTATTACATTTTATTTCATAATGACAATTATTACATTAATAGTGTAAACATTGTACATCCACATTTGTTTTGAAAAACAAATTTGTTTAAAAACTACATTTATGTCTAACTTTGTTTTGTATATTATATTACATTCATCTATTCATCCATGCATATTTTTTGGTTACATTATATAATTTAGCAATGATTACACTTTTAAAACATTACTGTTCTGTTACAAAAAATAGGTGGGCACTGCTGCCTGATCCATTTAAATCAATCAGAAAAACAATAACAACTTATAGAAGTGCGTGCGTGTGTCTGTCTGTCTGTCTGTCTGTCTGTCTGTCTGTCTGTCTGTCTACATACATGCATACATATACATATAGTTGAAGTCAGAATTATTAGCCCCCCCCTTTGAATTTCTTTTTCTTTTTTTAAATACTTCCAAAATGATATATAACAGAGCAAGAAAATTTACAAAGTATGTCTGATAATATTTTTTCTTCTGGAGAATGTCTTATTTGTTTTTTGTTTCAGCTAGAATAAAAGCAGTTTTTAATTTTTTAAATAACATTTTAAGGACTAAATTATTAGCCCCTTTAAGCTATATTTTTTCTGATAGTCTACAGAACAAACTATCGATATGCAATGACTTGCCGAATTACCCTAACCTGCCTAGTCAACCTAATTAACCTAGTTAAGTCGTTTAATGTCACTTTAAATTGTGTAAAAGTGTCTCGATAAATATCTAATAAAATATTATTAACTGTCATCATGATAAAGATAAAATAAATCAGTCATTAGAGATGAGTTATTAAAACTATAATGTTTAGAAATGTGTTGAAAAAATCTCTCCGTTAAACAAATTGGGAAAAAAATTAAAAGGGGCTAATAATTCAAAGGGGCTAATAATTCTGACTTTAACTACATGTAACATTTCATTTATATTTATCAATACATCCATTTGTCTGTCTCAGTTTTATTTTTATTTATTTGTATTTTTTATTCATTCATTTATTTTTCTGAGTCTCAGGCTTAGTCTCTGTTTCAGAGGTCGCCACAATGGAATGAACCACCAACTATTCCAGTATATGTTTTATGCAGCGGATGCCCTTCCAGCCACAACCTAGTATTGGTAAACATCCATACACACTCGTTCACATATACACTCATATACTACAGCAAATTTAGTTCATTTAATTTACCTATAGCGCATGTCTTTGGACACAAACACAGAAATGCCAACTGGCCCAGCCAGGACTCGAACCAGTATCCTTCTTGCTGTGAGGCAAGAGTGCTAACTACTGAGCCACTGTGCTGCCTTTTTTAAATCATTTATGCATATATGCCACCCACATCATTAAATAATTCATTTATTTACCTAAGAAAGGTGCTAAAAATAAAAAAAATCAATAAAGAACATGTATAACCGTACAGTTTATAAATGTAGTATGAATTCATATGTATATTTTATATAACTCTAAAACAATGTAATTGTCCATGCACATTTGTCCTATTAAACATTGTTAATTTGCTGCACCATCCATGCGTATATTATATACCTTTTTTATATCACCAGGAGAGGGCAGTATTGCCTTCAAAATGTCTTTGTCTCTTTTATCTCCATTGTAGCCCTTTGTGTGAAATTGTTTTTGTGCATTAGGTGGATTTCTTTAACGTTTTCTAGAATCGTCCCAGATGGCACAAAATGCACTCGACACATGTAGTAGATCTGCAGTCGAATCTGTCAGAAATGCCACCGGAGACGTCTTTAGTTTACTGCAGCACACATCCAGCATGACAAATCCCTGTGCCTATCATATGAACATCACATTATCATTGCTGTGATGTCACTATATTGCCTAGCAAATAAATAATTTTCTTTATCAGACTTGTCAATCAAATCCCAAACAGGTCTTATTGGGCTCATCAATTCAGTATAGGGTGTCTTTAATGGTCTCGTTTCCAGTAAATTACCTTTAGTACATGTGATTTTGTTTTCGAACATGAGATATTGATTTTCCTGTATCTTCTGCTTCTGCTTTACAGAATCGAACCCGGGCGGTTTGTTTGTGATTGTGTGGAGTCAGGTGTGCATGTGGGTTGAAGCGTGTGACGCAAAGTGCTGGAGAAAACCCTTGACGCACAAGTACACACACACACATACACCATCAAAAACGTGTCTGGAAACGTGTGGGAGGCTCAGCTCTTCAGTGAGCGGTTCTCCTCTCGTCTCCTCTATTGCCTGAAGACTTTCCCTCAAACTTCTGCGTTCATTCTGGATCTTATTCTCAAAATGGGCACAACTGTTCATTCCAAATCAGAAACACCTAACATATGTGTGAAGAAGGCAGGGAAACATATTTAACCTTTTGATTTTTTGCTCATGATATTAACAAAAAAATATATATATGTTTTTGCCAAAGTAGTTTTTGAATAAGTTTTTTTTTTTTTTTTTTGGTGGCTTTTGAAGCAGGTTGTGGTGATGTTGCCTTTTGTAGTCAGGGTACAAAAGAGGGTTAGACCCTCTTCTAAGATTTAAGATTAGCTTAAATTAGCTCAAATGTTTCCTGGTTTTAGCTCTTTGTGTAATGGATGCCAGGCCGCTGAGAGTACTTTAATGCACACATTCTGGATTTGCCCTAAATTAGAAAACTTTTGGAGTTCAATATTCAATACCCTTTCTGTTGTGCTTCAATATACAGTAGAATAGAGCCAGAACCACTTGTGGCATTATTTGCAATCGCCAAGAAGACTCATGTTTCTCTCCGTCAAAGTGTACGATTCTTACCTTCTTTTCTTTATTAGCACACAGAGTAATGCTGCTTAAATGAAAAGATCCTCTTCTACCCACCTTTATTCAATGGACCAGGGAGATGTCTTTTCTTTACCTTGAAAAAAAATTAGATAGTCTTTCAAAAGATCGAGTAAACAATTTTATAAGATATGGCACCCCTTCATTGATTATTTTGACCATCTTAATTTATACCCTACAAATATACATGCGTTTATATAATATAATTGATTTATTTTTAATTGATTTATTTTTTTTGCGTGTGTGTGTGTGTATATATATATATATATATATATATATATATATATATATATATATATATATATATATATATATATATATATATATATATATATATAGTTTCTCCAAATACTTCTAACTTTAGACTGAAGTGATCGACGGCTATGTTTTGTTCTATTCTAGGTAAGGGTTATAGGGTTTGTGGATAGATATATTTGAAAATGAATAATAATAAAAAAATAATCAAAACCAAAATAAGATGGGAGGGTCTTTAAAAAGTAAAAAACAGAAAATGTCTGACAGAAAATGTTCATTCAACAGTCTAAAACTGGCAGATCTAGAGCACCAGAAGACACTGTTCTTTTTTAATTAGTGCAGTCATCCATTTATTGGTGCAGAAACACAAAGTAGTCACTGTTTTATATCAAAAATAGGTCGAAACATCTGCTGAAATAGCCATTCAGAGGCAACTGTCTAACTGATTATTCTTTAAAAATAACAAAAAATGTTTTATTAATAAATTAGTTGTAACTGATCATTCTCCTCCCACACACACCCTTTATTATTATTATTTTTATTATTATTATTATTATTATTATTATTATTATTATTATTATTATTATTAGAGTTATTTGAGTTTTGCTATATTATTATTGCCACTTTACATTTGTGTACTCGACAACCCTTTGCTGCAATACATAGCAATATCCTTTGGTCTTACCCATTGTGATGAATGACTGAGTGAGTTTGCCCTACTTTCCTCATGTTATTAGCACAATTGTCAGTTCTGCAGCTGCTGCTTGTCTGTAAAACATACATTTTTGGACAATTTTGTAATGTTGTGAGCGGTGTTTGAGGAATTTAGAAGTAAGTGTTGAAGTTACTTTTAAAACTAATGTATTACAATGTTTTACTTTTTGAAAAAAATTACAAAATGCTGCTTATTGCGCAGTGTCTCTGGGCTTCTGTTCTGTGCAGCGAGCAGCTGTACCGCAGCAGATTCGTCAGTAAATGAACACAGCAATACACAACAGCACTGTACATCTGTCACTTACCGAGACTATTCGCACTTTAAAATGTGACTAGTTTGTCTGTAATGCGCCCAGTTACTATCATATAAGATGCTCATTAAATACAATTTAAGCCTGTTAAGTTATTTTTATCGAACTTTACTAAAAAAAAAAAAAAAAAACAGATATATTGGATTTGCTAAATTTTAAGGTAAATGTTGCACACTTTATATGGGCTGAGTTTAAACAAATTAGGTTGAACATTACTAAATTTTTAAAAAAAAATTTTTAGATTCAGCCCATATAAATTGCTTGTAAACACTTACCTTAAAAAAATAAGTCAATCGAATAAATTTCTTTCAGTGTGCCAAATCGGTTTATTTTTTATATTATTTATTAATTTCAGATGTTTGCATTTGAATAAGCTGTGTTTCCATGATAAATCATTGCAAAATACAGTATGTTTATCTATTATGTTTATGTATATACTAGATTTTGTACATTGTACTAAGTTTGAACACACGAAGGAGTGTGTTTTTTTGACTGTTGCTATATGTATATAAAGAAGCACTATATGTATTTGTACATTTATTTTCTCCCTATTTTCTGTTACGAAACGGAAAAAAGTTTTTTTTCAACACATTTCACTAATCATAATAGTTTTATTAACTCATTTCTAAAAACTGATTTATTTGATCTTTGCCAGGATGACAGTAAATAATATTTGACTAGATATTTTTCAAGACACTTCTATACAGTTTAAAGTGACATTTAAAGGCTTAACTATGTTATTTAGGTTAACTAGGCAGGTTAGGGTAATAAGGCATGTTATTGTATAATGATTGTTTGTACTGTAGACTATCGAGAAAAAAAAAATTGCT